CCAATCATTCTTCCAGTGGTAGAACTCACAGTTTGCCCATTACTAAGGAGCGGAGCATTACGGTGGGTCATACAGCCCAAAATTTCGTCCGTTGCCAAGTCTCGTGATTAACATCGAACACGAGTGGTGGCAAAGGTCTCAATGCGTCGTGTTTGGATGGAATATTCTGGAGATATGTGCCAATAGAGAAGTCACTATTGTGCCTTGGTAGATGCCCTGATGATCCGTGCTGCTGCCGTCCTGGCTTCAATTTGCTCGACTGAATCCGTCATCGGTCGACAGGTATGTTGGCTTCTCCCCATCCCCAGAACTAAAGAGAACTTGGGGTGGACTGTGCTCTAGTCATAAAAGGTTGACTTTGGGTCAAATGGTGGGATGTCCGAGGCCATTCTCATATGGGTATCACCAATTTGGATGAGTTTTTGTACTACCCAATCTCGTTCTAGTCCAGGCTCGAACACCATCAAGCACAGTCTGAGAGCGAAGATGATAAAAAACGGTCCCAGAAAAGATGATGTCAACATGAACGGCGCAGTCCGACACATCTCTCGAGCAATTTCCCGATTCTCCATAAGGTACAGGTCGTGCTTCTCGGGCGCGACATCTTTTTCGATGTCCTTCAAAATGAGGTTGAGGATGACCATGATTGTCCAATAGCCAACGTGGGTTGACGCAACAAATACATTGACAAAGATGTACTGTTTTGGAAAGACGGGATCCATGGTTTCCATTGACAAGGTTTCGAGGCCTTGTTTCTTCAGGGCTGCTCGGAGTCTTAGATTGATAGATTTGAGGTTGGCTCTATGCAATCGCGTCCTTGCGAGGAGCGTCTCTAAATGGGCCGCATATTGGTCGGGGGGTAACTTCCGTCGTGCCTCGCCTAAATTCCGAGAATCGCGTAAAGTCTTTGGAATAAAGATGTGCTCCATGTAGAACTCCTCGGCGAGGTCGAAAATCCCCATTCGCTCGTCAGGAATACCAGTGGCTCGTAGATCTTCATGAATCTTCTTGGCCATTTCTATCCATTGGGGCTCGGCTAGAAAACAGGCTTCTCCTCTCATGAAGGCATCAATGACGATGGTATGGCGGTAAGCAAGGTAGACATCCCGATCCAGTCCTGCTAGGTGACGGTCTGGTCCACGAATGCGCATCAATGTCCCGGCGCCACCAGCATGGCGCACCCAGGACTGATTCGAGTCGGAAGCAAACATCTCGTAGAATGAAAGTAGAATCGTAGCAGACAGCGTCTCGGTCGACATCCCCTTGGTATCATCAGTGAGCGACTGATTGAGAAGACGCAACGCTTTGCCGTAGTATTGTCTTGATTCTTGCACAAATACATCCGTCCGTTGCGTTCGACTCAAATGAACCAAGGAGACTGCGCGAACCGCCGTATCGAGGAGTTTTGTGCCGAAAAGGGCAGGTAACTGGGCCAGCCAATTCTGGTGGCTTCGCATCTGACGAGGAAGCAAAAGTGGACCGTGGCCCCCTAACGAGGAAGAAAAGGTGTTGAGAAGTTGTTCTTGTACTAGGTTGGGAGAGTAGATGGGGTTATTGAGTGTCATTTTTGACGGGATCTCCAGGTAGATTGAGTCGTCACCGAGAGGACCGCCCCAGCCGCCTGTTGACATTGTCGCCCCCCAAAGATCGGAATCAGGATATATCTGGCTCTCTAGCATGTTAAAAAAGGTATTACGAGCCGGTAGCACTTGGCTGGGTCGATAGTGACGTGCTTCCAGGTCCGGCGTATTGAAACGGGTGATTAGGTCGGTTGAACCTTCGGGCGAAGACTCTGTTGACTGACTTTGATGGCTCGTAGATGGCGACACGCTGTCGGACTCAGTCCTCGACTCTGATTCATCCCCTTGACCAAAGCGCTTTCGGAGTTTTGAGCCTTCATCGTAAATCCTCAGATCGGAGTCGTATCCTGGGCAGGGTCGGTTGCCTCTGGCGCAGTTATTGCAGATTGGGCGTGTCAAGTCACACCTGACTCGACGCTTGACGCATATGCGACAGCCTTTGCTCCTTGGGATACCGACCATACCTAACGGGAGGGAACAGGCATTAGGAGGAAGAGGTAGTCAGGTTCTTAGAGGGGACGCGGCGTCCTCTGAAATGGGGCGGAAGAGATGTCTCGAAAGGTGATCAAACTCCAGACGAAGGGCAATCATGCCAGCAGCATTCTTTATCATTAGAAGAGGGGTCTTAGATACCACGTGTGGTTGTACAGCCGGGGGAAAAAGAGAATGGTTGATGCCTGATCAGACTCTGTCCATACCTCCAGGTACAAGTGGGTTGGAGTACCTCGTATGAGCGGCTGTATTATTGAATGATGGCAGATGTCGATGCGACAGGGCCGAGGGGTACGAGAACCAATGGGCTGGTCCGAAAGGGCGGTCACTTGTCGGGCACTTGCGGGGACTCGATGGGCGATGACGACAAGCCTAGCATCAACTGTGGCACAGTCTTATAGGTGTGATAGGCCCCTTGAACTTGGGACCGGGAAAGCCAATAAGGGGATGATCGCAGACAAGCATTTTTCCAGGCACCCACTACGGCTAATGAGGCGCAGTTTTAATTGAGGAGCCCACTAAAGCTCAGCAGCAGCAGCCCTTTCAGCCCATCCTAGTACCTAGCCTCGCTACCTACAATATGTAGGCGCGTAGGTACTGTTAGAGACTCGTTATCTGTATTCGGCAGGGCCCCCTATGTGCCTGCACGGCTGATTCCGCTGTGCGCAGCCACACCACCTGTAGACGAAGTACGAGCGATATTCTGGATCTTTCAATATGAGTACCACGCTGCTAGAATCCGATTTAAACAATTCGTTTCTGTGGCTTTTGCCATCCGAATCGCGTCTCATGGTGCTGGTTCCCTGTGAAATGACTTAGCAATGTCCACCCATGGTCCTTGCTCTGCCCTCTCGATAGTCCCGATGCTTCAACCATTCCCAGTATGCAAAGCCACGGGCGCCCGCAACGAAACCACGCTCAATGCAAATGATGGTATTGGTACACCAGAAATGCTCCAGGTTCGACCCAAACCACCATTTTTTCACTTGTCAGCTTTGACTCCAGACCGCAGAGCCTAAGCGCGACACTCTCGTCATCAGTATACTTGATTTCGTTCACCCTTCCAGCTCATTCATTGGGACATCTTCATCGTCAGGACCAACAATAGCCTCCGCAACCTTCCACACCTGGATCAAGTTGTCATCCGCTGCACTGCACACCACCCAGGGAAGGTTTTTGTTCCATGAGAAATCGCTGATCCGGTTGGTGTGTCCTCCGTGCATGAAAAGAAGCTCGGGGGGTCCGTCTTCACCGTCTTCAGGATTCTGTTCCTCGCCGACCTTGGACAAGTCCCAAAACATTATCCTTCGATCATAACTGCTTGATGCCAGAACCGACTCTTCGAATGGATGCCATTCCAATGTCGTCACACTGTCCTTGTGCCCCTCGAGAACGTGCAGCTTGTCCTTGAGATTTCGGAGATCCCATAGAGCAATGGTCTTATCGGCACTTCCAGTGGCCACCACAGTATCCACTGAAAGGTTGAACGCAATGGCGTTGATTGCATCCCGATGCTGATTCTCGCCCTTGGCAGCTGATCGGGTAGTTTCACCTTGTCTAAGATCCAAAAGTTGCATGGTGAGGTCGTCGGAGACAGTTCCCACCAGATTTGGAAGGAGGGGATGGAATTGCACATCATTTACGATTCCCCAGTGATGCGTGTAACGACGAGCCTCGTTTAGTAACTTGTTAGTTTTAGTGGCCTGTGTGATGTCCCAAAGTCGGACTGTAAAGTCTTCGCTGGCCGTCGCCAATTGACCAGCGTGGAAGGGATCCCAGCTGAGACCGTAGCCCTCCTTGGTGTGCCCACTGAGCTCTATCGTAGGATTAGGTCTTCCTGAAGGCAGGCCAGGAAGCTTCGATCGGTCCCAGATCATGACTCGCCCGTCCGTGCACATGGTAGCGATAATGTTCGGGTTGTCGGGCTGGTATCGTGCCTTGTTGACCTCGCCAGGGTGATCAATCTTCTGGACAATATTGAACTTGACTTCAATTTGATTTTTGCCTGTTGATCCTCCACCGTATCCACCGATTTCTCCTGTCTCTTCATTGTAGTCTTTCACATCTGGTTTCTTGCGATTGGGCAGTTGGACGCTGGCCACTTCTAGGTAGTTCGGTTGGCCTTCAGCCGTATGTGTGCCAATCAATAGACGGTGTTTGGAGTAGTCGGTGTCGCGTACCCTGTTCGCATTAGCCATAATACCACAATGGCCGAGGAGAGCAGGTTTCTTACGCCGTGACGTCTGGGAACCACTGGGTTGTAAGGGTAGGCCAATCCAGGGCCGTACTGAGGATCATATCATAGAGAAAAGGAGCGTTCTTCTTCCACGTCTTGTATTCTTCATTGATGATTTTCTGCTCGGTCTCGGCGTCTTCATTGTTGAACTCTTGGTCGCTCACTTGACATTTAATGCTGGTTAGTAGCTAGACCTGCGCTGTGAATCATGCGGCCTTACTGTTCTCGTCGTCCTCCGCCATTTTGTGTGTGTCAGAAGAGAGCTCGTGTGAACTGAAAGGGATGGAGGCGATCTCAGGACGAAAAGGTGGCGCAGGCCACTCCGATGGCTTATAGGTTCGGTGTCGCTTCTCTGTGCTCTTTAAAGCTCTTGATCAAAGCGACGCGCTGTCTCCAGACTTCAGAAACGCACCGGGACAGACGCGTTAAGTGAACCGCCAAAACAGGACTAGCTTGCCAAGACCGCAAAAGTGGCGAGGCCGTCTTCGACATTCAGCCTCGACTCATCATCAATCCCGCAATAAACATCGTTTACCTTCAAGTAGAGGTGGTTTCTGTAGAACACGCGCCTTGATCCCTGCGCATCTGCGACCTGCGCCCTTCGCATGTGAAATTCGAGAAGTAGCAGCTTCGTATACCCTCTTTTTCACCGACTTCTATCTACGTCGCTTGGTTCTACGCCCACCGCCACCATGGGTGTTCCAAAATTCTTTCGATGGCTCAGCGAGCGATACCCTGCCATCTCACAGCTGATCGCAGAGAACCGCATTCCAGAATTCGACTGTCTTTACCTCGATATGAATGGCATCATCCACAATTGTACGCACAAGGACTCTGACTCCCCTTCTTTCCGGATGACCGAGGACAAGATGTTCATCGCCATCTTCAACTATATAGAGCATCTTTTCGGCAAGATAAAACCGAAAAAGCTGTTTTTCATGGCCGTCGATGGAGTGGCACCCCGGGCCAAGATGAATCAACAGCGCTCTCGCCGCTTTCGTACCGCCCTCGACGCAGAGAAGGCTCGTGAAAAGGCAATCAAAGAAGGCGTGGAGTTGCCCAAGGAAGATCCGTTTGACAGCAATTGCATTACCCCTGGTACAGAATTCATGGCCAGGCTTACTAAACAGCTCAAGTATTTCATCAGCAAGAAGGTCTCTGAAGACGTCGATTGGCAAGGTGTCGAGGTCGTGTTGTCCGGTCACGAAGTTCCCGGAGAAGGGGAACACAAAATCATGGAGTATATCCGACAAGCCAAAGCGCAGCCTGACTACGACCCCAATGTACGCCACTGTTTGTATGGGCTGGATGCTGATCTGATCATGTTGGGTCTGCTGAGCCACGACCCACACTTCTGCTTGCTTCGCGAGGAAGTTACTTTCGGAAGACAGTCACAAAAGAAATCCAAGGAGCTAGAGCATCAGAACTTCTACCTCATGCATCTTTGCATTGTCAGAGAATACCTGGAGCTGGAGTTCCAGGAGCTAAAGCAGCCGGGCGCTCTTGAATTTGATTATGATATGGAACGAATCATCGACGACTTCATCTTAATGGCTTTCTTTGTTGGAAACGATTTCTTACCCAACTTGCCAAATCTGCATATCAACGAAGGGGCGCTGGCACTCATGTTCCAAAAATACAAACAAATTCTCCCAACATTGGGCGGTTACATTAACGAACATGGTGTCATCAACCTCCAACGGTTGGGAGTACTCCTGGATGAGTTGGCAGAGGTAGAAAATCGGTTCTTTGAGGCAGAATACGCAGGTGCCAAATGGATCGACGCGAAACGGAATGGTCAAAATGCAGACGAGCCACTGACAACTTCGCGTGGTCCTGTCAGGATCTCTCCTGAACAAAAGCAGCTCTTCAAGGAGGTGAAGAAATACTTTATATCACCTGTCAACAAGGACCCGGCGACAAAACAGCCACTCAAACTATCTTCCACACTTCCGGCACGAGATCGTAAATTTGTCCAGCAACTCGCCACCGACTTGAATTTGCAGTGGTCCACAAAGGAAGACAGCGACGGCAACCGCTTCCTTCAGTTGGAATTCCCTCCCAAGGGCGCACAGGCAGAGTCGGACGAAGAAGACGAAGAGTCGGAGTTGGCCATAATGCGGGTCTTGAAGAGATATGAGAATGCGAAAGTCGAAGAGAGCACCGACGAGCAAGCGCAACAAGACATGCAGAAGAAGTACGACCAAAAGTTTCAGGAATGGAAAGATCAATACTACAAGGAAAAGTTCGGCTGGGGCCTTGAGAACGAAGAGGGCTTGAGGAAATTGGCGGAAAACTACGTACAGGGATTGCAATGGGTCCTTTTCTACTATTATCGTGGCGTTGCTTCATGGCCTTGGTTTTATCAATATCACTACTCACCCATGATTTCGGACGTCAAGAGAGGTCTGGGCGCGGATATGAACTTCAAACTCGGTCAACCTTTCCGACCATTTCAACAGCTGATGGGCGTTCTTCCGGATCGAAGCAAGAAAATTGTCCCAGAAGTTTATCACGAGTTGATGACATCAAAAGATTCACCCATCATCGATTTCTATCCCCGAGATTTTGCACTGGATATGAATGGCAAGAAACAGGAATGGGAAGCTGTGGTCAAGATTCCATTCATTGACGAGCGGCGGCTTCTCGATGCTATGGCTTCTAAAGATGCGCTGCTTACCGAAGACGAACGCCTCCGCAATGACTTTGGGGTGAGCTTGAAATTCACGTATTCTCCAGAGGTCGACTACACTTATCCTTCATCATTTGTCGGAATCTTCCCAGATCTGCCGCATTGTCACTGCATCCAAAATGAATTTGAGCTTCCGACAATGGACGGGCTGGAGCCGTATGTGGGTCTGGTGGAAGGAGTCAAACTTGGTATCGCAGCTTTGGCTGGCTTTCCGAGTTTGAAGACGCTCCCATTTACCGGCTCGTTGGGATTCCACGGCGTGAACGTCTTCCAGCAAGACAGCCGCAATGAGAGCATGATCGTCACCTTATCAGATACCGAAACGCGAACCAAAGTGGAGTATGCCAAAGTCCTTTTGGACAGGCGTGTCTATGTTGGATATCCGTTCTTACAAGAAGCAAAGATTGTCAAAGTTTCGGACGAACTTTTCGACTATGTCATGGCGGATGATGGGACAAGCGTGCCTCATCAGATCAGGGCGATCGAGCACTCTGGAAACGAAATCGACCAGTTCCGGAAGAAGGCAGATCGAATTGAGAAGTTCTACAGCAAGAGACTTGGAATGTTGATTGGCGAAGTTGAATCTCTGGTCCACGTCGAGATGCTCAAGGGCCTCAAGAAACTGGACGACGGATCCACTGTCAAGGAATTTGCCGAGCTTCCAGGCCTCGACACCATCCATGCGACTCAGCTTATAGTGGAAAATGTGATCAGCGAGGATGTTCGTTTCATTGAGCAAGCGGCTCGACCCATCGAAGAAGAATTTCCAGACGGTACTAACGCCTTCTTCCTTGGAGATTATGCTTATGGACGCCCTGTCAGTGTCATCGGCCATGAGAACGGCAAAGCAAAATGTTTGATTGCGCTCTCGAAAGCACGTCAGGTGGAGTTTGGACGCGATATTGCCCGGCAGGCAGAAAGGTTGTCACCATATACACCTTCGTACCAGGTTGCCCAGAGCCTCGGCTTGAATCCTCTGGCACTAGCAAAGATCACCTCGTCATTTTCGATCACAGTAGATGACTCCAGGGTGAACCTGGGCCTAAATCTCAAGTTTGAAGCCAAAAAGCTAAAAGTTCTCGGCTACTCACGCAAAGGCCAGAGCGGATGGGAGTTCAGTCGAGCGGCTGTTGAACTGATTCAACAATACATGATACGATTTCCGCAGTTCATTGCCGGCATCCACAAGAACCCGCAAGGGGACATGTTGCCTGCGACAGCATACTTTCCTGGCGACGAACAGCAGGCCAAAGAAAAAGTGAAAGAGATTCAAGCATGGTTGAAAGAGATCGAGTCAAAGAGCTTCGAGAAAGTCCCGCTCGAAGCCGAGCAATTGGATTCAGAGATTGTGAAGCGCATCGAGCAAGCTGCGGACGAAGCACTTCGCTCAGAGCCTGCTCCGTACAACAAAACCATTGGAGGAGTCCCTCGAAATGCGCTTTTGAAGCCCTCGGATGCGCAATGGCGTCTTGGAAACCAAAGATTTAGTCTCGGAGACAGGGTGATTTACGTGGCTGACTCGGGCAAAGTCCCGATTGCCTCCAAGGGAACTGTTGTCGGTCTGACCCAAACCACAAGGGAAACCTGGCTTGATGTTGTCTTCGACGTCTCTTTTATGAGTGGGACATCGTTGGGAGACCGCTGCTCACCATTCCGGGGATCCACCGTGCCGACATGGTCTGTTTTGAACCTCAGTAATCGACAAGTGCTTGCTTCGTCAAAGGCAAGCGCAAACCGACAAACCAATGGCACAGGGCACTCGCCTCTCACCGTCCCCGGTTATGGCCAACCTGGCATCGGAGGCTCGGGTCAATTACGTCCAGCCGGGACACCTCCAGCATTGCGGGGTACGTGGCGTGGAGCTGTATCTGGCCATGCATCTGGCGGTCGAGGCCAGTTGACCGGAACGTCCATGCCAATCCGGAACATGTCTGGCTCACCTGCCAACGGTCACCGGGGTAATGCGACGAATGGCCAACATGGTCGTGGTGGTCGTGCATCGATGGGTCATGTCAGTGCTCGAGGAGGATACACTATCGTGGATCGAGGAGACGCTCAAACTGGAGTTGTCCAGAACAATCCTAATTTCCGGCCGAAGTCGCAGAACAATGTTCCTCCACCTGCAAGCTTGAATCAGCCTGCCACCCCACGGGGTCGTGGTCGAGGACGTGGTACGTCTAGGGGAGGACGAGGTGCAACGCCGCGTGGAGGAGTGTGAGTTGACTCTGCCTACTGGCTCTGTAACCCTGTATGATTAGCAAAACGGTCCTCGGTCTTAGGCAGGTGTATGATTTTCTCTTCGATGGCATGTGGTGAGTCGCGTTGGGGTTGCTAGAGGTATTAGTGAGTAAAGGGATTCAGTCACACGGAGGAAGCCGATGTTATCGCTCCAGTTGAACGATATGGTCCGGACGGTATCCACGAGCGATTGGGTGTTTCCGAGCAAGGCTAGCGATCCTTGCAAGCAACGACATAGGCCCGCAATTTCGATGGATCCGGCACTCGTCCAAGTCGATCAGTACAACTGCCACATGCTCGAATGAAAAGCGTCGAGAATACGAGGTTGCGGAAACAATCGCCTGAAAGAAACGGGGCCCAGCCGAAGAAAAGCCATAGGTGGGAAGACTCTCAACAACCAGGGCTCTCATGCAGCATGTCCACCTGGACCCTTTTGTCCTTTGTTTGCTTGTCCCTCTGCCATGTTCCTGTTTCACCCTGGATGACTGTCCCTTTCCGACGGACGCTTGCGCAACAGACGATGCACGTCATCCGACACGACCCATTTGCCTTACTAACTATGGAGCATCAGAGACCTGTTTTCCCTGTTCTAGCTTCGGCGAGCTGGTGGAAAGGCCCCGCCTTGTGCTTATATGCTTTCGCCGAGGGGCGTTGTTGTCGCCAAAGGTTTACACTCACCCCCGAAGTCTTCCACTTGGATTGCATCTCTCTCTCGCTGGGTTCTAGGAGATTGTGACCCCTATCTGTTACCGGTGGCTCTTGTTCAAGCTGATTCGACACTGTCCCCATTGTGTTCCTGGCTGGCTCTCCACGTCCGAGTCTTGGACCACGTCAGATTTGCCCGTCGAACCCCTCAACCGAATGCGCTTGCTACCCCCACGCTATCGAGGGTCAGACACGTTTTCTATGTTCCAAACAAGAACTATGATGCCACCATCCCCACAATCTCAATCCACGATGAACTACTGCCGTGCCACTCCCAAACCGTTGCCGAAGTAAGAAAGCGCGGCCACAACACATGACCCCGAAGCTTCGACATTGATAGACCTCGCTGAAGCCATTCGACTGGCTTCGTTGTATGCTAGTCTTTGGGGTTTTCTTCTTCCTGCCTGGTTAGGATGCGGAGAGCAAGACCCGACGCACGAATCATGCTGTGTGACTCTATTATCAGCCCCCAAGACTCCCAGAAATCCGTGATACAGATCACCAAGCCTATTGACATGGGAAGAGTTCGCAGCTCTCCCACACTTGTTATCTCATGAGGCCTAATCACAGATTGGCTCCGCTGCCATTCCTTTACCAATCAGCTTTATGCAGCGGTTCGGGCCAGCATCACGCTTTTCGCTTTTTCTTTGTTGCAGTGATAGACAGCTCCATTTCTCTCATCATCTGACTTGGTGGATATCACCTCCTTTCCTCTACTGTCTCTTTTCCTATTGAGCCTTTGGTCCTACCTCAAACCATAATGGCGATTGTAATCATGACTTTCTGTCGATCTCCTTCGGTTGTCAAGTAAAGCTCTACCCGCGGCGGGCTCCGGCCAAGGCAACCTCTGTTTCTCCAAGTCCAGGAAGGGATATTCAATCCTGGGAAAAGGCTCCGAAAGAAGGCTCCGCCACTGCGAACCCCCATTGGGCCAGACACGATCAGACCAGCCAGGCCCAAGCCTCATTCTTCGAAGGGTTGCCTACAACCTGTCGTCGGAGTGCCTGTATTCATTGTTTTCGGCCCATCAGTATTCCCGTGTAGTGTTGGCGTTGAGACAATATCAAACATGACGGACTCGATGAACCTGATCTCAGCTCAGATATCATTCTTGGTGAGTTCTTCCGGCCGCCGCTCCGGTTATGTGTACAGGGCTGGCAGGCATCAGGCTGGGCCTGAGTTATTGACCATCACGTTTTCTAACTCTCCGTCCACCGCTTGCGGGCTCAGGAAGCACATCTCGCGCTGATCCATATTCCCATTGAGTTGTACGCCTTGACCCTTCAGCCGATTCTCCGGCTCCTGTTTGGAGAAGACCACGACGAGGACGCCGCAAAGATTTCGTGGACCAACCGCCATGACTTTCTCAACATCTCCATCACTGCCATTGAATGCTCCATCATATGCTCGAGATACCTCGCTGACCGATTCGTGCGCCCGATTGCTGATGTCCTCAACAATGTTCACGCCGGCAACAAGAAGGGGAAGTCGACGGGGGAAATCCAGATCGGAAACGAAGACTATACAGTCATCCAAGTCGACGGGCAAGGCCTTGACGCCGGCCAGAGGGTGTTGGAACTGACGTCGCCATTGGCAATGGCTGGAATGTGAGCCTTTTCGCTCCGTCATCTTGGTTGGATGTCGATGCCTTGTGATCATGGGACTGACTCTGGAAACACACTTGCAGAAGCATTTTCTTCATCACGACGTATTTCTCTGACTATATTCTTGTTCCCTTCCGGGCGCGAGGCACCGTCACCACGGCGCTTCAACAACGAGGATTCGTCTTCTCCAAGACCGCCGACGCCTTTGTGTCGCAACTCTCGCCGTCATCTCCCACCTTGCTCCAGGGCGGCGCGAGGCCGCCGGCGTCACCATTCTTCGACAGGTCGGCTCCCCCGACCCCGCCGGCCAAGGACATCCCTGAGCTCCAGGTGCGGACGTTCCGAAAGCTCCAGCGGAACAATATCCGGCCTCTTGTCGACCGTGAGATCCGTCTGGCCAACTGCGCCGGCAGCCGCGAGTACAGCAAGGCCAGCGACGAGCAGCTCAAGGACGACCTCCTCCAAGTCCTGCTGGCGACCGCGGCACCCACGACGACGCCTTCGTCGAAATCGGTCACGGCCACGACGATATCGGCAGCCGGACTGAGTCTGAGCACGCCGCCACCACCGCCACCAGCGTCCGGCGCCGACCTGGACTTTGGCGCCAAATTCCTCTCCCTGACCATCACCTCGGACGAACCCATCTCGGTGCTCCTGGAACATCGCCTGCTCGACCGCCTAGGCGGGTCGCTCCTAGGCGCCAAATCCGCCGACGACGCCCTGATCCCCATCACGCTGGACCTGCGCGACCTCCCGCTCGACGCCACGGGCATTGTCTGTGGCGTGGCTGGCCGCCTCGCCCAGGGGAGCACCGATCTTCCAGACGAACAGGTCACTTTGAGCGGCAGCGGCACGACATCGGCGATCGAGATTGGCCCGCGCGACGAACCCGTCGAGATCGGCTTCCTCAGCACCGCCAGAGCAGGCACCGTCATCGTCCGCGCGTCCCAGCTCGAAGAGGCCCTCGAGGCCCTCGATTATGGCATGATGAGGGTCGTGGAGGAGGAGAGGGCTTGAGCGAGCGAGTGCGAGTGTGAGTGCGTCGCGATCCAGGAGCCATGAATGAACATGACGATCGTGACGTATGTCGTGGGCCTGCTTCCTGTTACACAACGGTCAGGCTGGTAAGGTTACACATGCATGCACACATACACACATGGAGAGATTGCGAGGAAGAGCACACATGTGTGTGTGTCATTGAAATTGCGATCAAGAAATAACCCTTTGTGGTCCTCCCTTGGGGGGGGGGGGGGGGGGGCCGGACTGGAAAAACCGAAACCAAAACCGAAAAAATCACCTACGATTATCAAGTTCCGCTCACTTCTTACTACGAGCACGAACGAGCACAAAACGAGTACGACTTACACCTGCATCAGCATCATCAGCAATAGCATTATACCGGGGAAGGCAAAAAAGCAATCAAAGTTTGGGTGTCCTCCGACACGAAGGGATGACGGATCAAGGGCAGAAACTCATGCATGGGACACGGGGACTCGGGGACTCGGGGAAAAGTGAAAAGTGAAAAGGACAAAAGTGGAAAAAGAGAGACACACATATACATTCATGTCATCCTGGATTATAATTCCGATTCCGAATTCGATATGGATGAGTGAGGTACATATGTACTCGGTCGGTCTGGTAAGAGATCGGACGTTCAATTGGTACTGCAGCATGAATGCATGCAAGCATGGGATGGGATGGGGTGGGATGTGATAGCGATTGCGCTTACGATTCGGATTTGGCTTCTTTTGATGATTGCGTGGAAAAGTTCTGTTTGTGGGCGTCTCTTTCTTCTTCTCTGTGCTGTCTGCGTCTTCTCTGCGCCTTTAGTTGCTCGGGCCTTGCTCGGGCTCGATGGTGTTGTGGGGAGATGGAAAGGGTATTTCACGTGGGAAGGCCATGAGATCTCGGAGGGAGGGAGAGAGGGAGACTCAGAGAGTTCGAGAGAGAGAGAGGGGTCCGCAAAGTTGCCTGCTTTCAGCTAGCATAAATGTATCATGCTATACACATACGCGTATCTCTTCCCTCTCATCCAGCGCCGTAGATCTTGACTACACCATCAGCGCCTCCGCCGGCCCAAAGACTCTGTCGCGCTTGCGCCTGGCTGCCTTCTCTCCATGTCACGACGCTCACTACCCTGTCAGAGTCACTGAGGTGGACTTTGCCGACGGCCTTGCCGGAGAGAACATCCCAGGCGCGTACAGTGCCATCACTCTCGCTTCCGCTCAGTACCAAGCCGTCGTTGGCTCCGAGACAGCTCCGCAATCTGAGGTTCTCGTTCTTGTACCCGTCCGTGGCTTCTTCGGGAGGGAAAGCCCTCAAGCATGTTCCGTCTCCTCGATCCATTAACCGAATCCTCCCGTCCAGACAACCCACAAGCACTGTTTTAGCGTCTCTCGAGAGGTCCAGACTGGTCACGCTTCCGGGCATTACATCCACGGTCACTCTGCCCGTGCGGATATCGTAGGATCGTACCCTGCCGTCTATACTCGCAGCGACAATCTCGTGTCCGTTCTCGGGTACCACGACACTCGAAATGCCATCTTTGGCCTCTTCGAGAACCATCAGTGGCCGTGCATCCCGACTCTTGACGTCCCACAACCTGACGCTTGTGTCATCACTCCCGCTGACGAGCACGCTGTCGCCGTCTCCAGCAAAAGCTACGCTTGTGATCCGACTGGTATGTCCCTGGGTGGTATTATTCCCAAATCGTCTCAGCGTGCCGTCTGCAGCCTGGACGTCCCAGAGAAACACCGCGCGGTCGCCGCCAACAGATGCAAAGGTCTGGTTGTCCTGTGCACAAGCGATATCGAGAATGGGGTAGCCGTGCGCCGAGTACTTCTGGATCGGTGTAGACGAAGGGTTGTCAGGCTTGGAGGGCTCGGTGCGGGTGAGGTGAACTTGTCGGTCTGAGCTGCCCGTAAGGATGTAGGTGCCGCCGAGAGAGGAGAAAGTAATGGCATTAATTGGGCCTGTGTGTGAGGCGATCTTGTTCACCAGGGCAGAGGGAAGTTTCGGGACTGAAGGGCTCATGATGACGACGCCGGTTTGAAGTGATAGACAAGTTGAGGGCAATACATGCAGGCATCCTTTGTAAAGGGATAGTATGAGAGAGTCAATGGGCAAGGGACGAGGGCATAAGGCCTTACCGTCGACGAAGGCATCGTCTACATCATCTACAGCACTGTTTGCTGTCGAGCAATTGAACGCAGTGAGAACGGGCTATAAAGCATGAATATCTGATGCGCCTCGGTTTTCTGTGACTCCCAGGTACGTACGTACCTTTCTTGTACGCCTAACTTGCTGTTTCTGCGAGGTGGGAGAACTGCGTTCAGAGTCGGCTTGGCACTTAACTATGTTGTGCTTGCAGGCTTGGCAGAAAACCAGGCACCAGCGGCGCTAGTTGATCTTGGCGACCACTAAAGTGTCTAGTGCAGTGCTAACTGACCAAAAATCTCGAGGTCTTGGCATCAACCACCCTCGTCTCCCGACTACTTAAACCTCCATCTCTCCCTTTTTTCCCCTTCTCTTTTTCTTTTCCTTTCCTCAGCTCTGTGAGTACCATTACTCCTCCCCCCTACACTTTGATCGTTTGTGCTAATTGTTGTCTCTCAGCTTTGCCAACTGGCTTAGATCAAGTGTAGTATCTGTTCTTTTCAGTTTAATCTCTGAAACGACACCACGTGTGTCTAACTTTGATTAAATTTATTTTTGCACGTCGCTTGAGTCTCTCCGTGCTTGCATGGAGCGTCTCAAGCACCGTGTCCGAGGCCTCACACTGCCGCCTTGTGATGCGAAACAATCACTTTTCATCATGGTTTTCTTTGCCTTGTGCAAAGCCTTGGAGAAGAGTTGAAACTTTGTCCTCGGAAAGAAGTGAATGTGTGTGCCTTTTGGCGTGGTACTTACATTCAGATTTGACGATGAAGCTGGGCTCGTGGTCTGGCCTCAGCGTCTGTTCGCCCTCACCGCCCAGTTCACCGCTCCTCCACCATCGCGTCGCACTCATGCGATCTCTCAGGATTGCTGCCTGTTAGTTGAGAGGCAGAACCGATAGCAGCCTGGTGAGTGCTGGGATGTCACAACGCCACGAAACAAGAGAAAGCTGGCCCGCCTAATTCCAGTCTCTCGTCACATTTAACCAGGGCAGCTCTCACTCTCGATTCTCCGACGAACCCTGCTATCCTCGCCGGTTCTACTCGTTGCCTAAAACGCAGTCAAATCTGGAAGTTGGACGATGCTGCTCCCATCATCCCCTTAAGCTGTAGTGAGACGTGACCTCAATCGCAGACCTCGAAGCACTGACCTTCTTACGGACCAACAAGGCCTCCCTGGCTGGACCATGGCACTTGTCCTACACAATTCTACGACGCGAATCATGTTCGTCCTCCCCCCTACGCCTCTATCGCCTATATCGTGACCTCCGCCACCGTTATCAACGCTGACTTAAGTGTTGACTTGAGCTCACATTGACTGTGCCGATGTCCTACCCGGTGGCTGGCAGCTTTTGATGGTCTGGTATACATGAAGATGGGGATATTACATCAGTTGGAGGTGCTTCAAGATTATCCACAAGCTCTTGATTTACAGCGGGCGTAATATAGGAGATACATTTGTAGATTTGGTGCTCTTTATCCCTGCCCTTGCGGTTTGCCATCGACCCTGGATCGTCTCGGAGCACCTACCCGCCTTCAAGGAGTCTGGGTTGGTTAGTGGCTGCTGGTGTGCACGTACGTGACCTTCGACCATTTCATCCGTCGGGCGAAGTGACTGTCTGTTGGGATCGCTGATACTAGCAGTACCTTGACGAGGGCCGCACAATGTCCTAGGCTTGAGATAAGTAATGCATACCTACGCGCAAACCGCGCTCGCCGACTAAAGGGCCAACAGAATGTTCGGTAGCTTGGGATATCCATCCCCTTATATTTGATTTTGATTGTCATGTACACATACTCGGTACATAGTTACTCCAGACACAGCTTTCGACCACCAAGCATAGCTACCTACATACATACACAAAGCCTTGTTGTTGTTGTTATTTTTCATACATCCGCCCCCTCTGTGAGTTTCTTGCTCCTGATCTTGAGCGTGTCCAGCACCGACACCCAGATATCCTCCCACAGTCCCAGCGGCGGGTCGATGCTCTGCTCGTAGGCGTCGATGACGGGCTTGTCCCAGACGAGGTCGGCCAGGTGCGGCTGCACGACTTTGGTCCGCTTGATCACCTTCCACCCGATGTAGAGGACCATGCAGACGAAGATCATGGTGTAGTAGGTGAAGAAGGTGCCGATGTCCCACGATCCGGGGAGGAAGACCGTGTAGCCTTGCAGGACGACGATGATGGTCACGAAGACCAGGCCGAAGCAGTTGAGGTAGGGTTGACACCAGCCTGGAGGACCCAACAAGAGGGGATAGGGTCAGCGACATGATGTCTTGAAAGGGGGAGAGAGCATACATACCTCGGTACGGAAGTGTACTGCGGTCAACCCCCTGGGCTTTCAGGGCGCGGTAGAAAAACAGGTACGTCGTCCCCATGAAGACGTAGTTGAGCACCTGCGACGCCGTGACCAGGTTGACCAGCCACTTGATGGCCGTCGCCGACCCGTTGCTGACCTGCAAGAAGCTCAGGAAGGGAAACACCATGGTGACGGCGAAGCACCAGTACGGCACGCCGCTCGCCGTCGTGGCATGCAGGAACCGGGGCGCCTGGCCCTGTAGCGAGAGGCTGTACAACGACCGCGTCGCCATGTAGCAGTACGAGTTGCCCGCGGAGAAGATGCTGGTCAGTAACAGTGCGTTGACCAGGTGAGGGAGCCCCGTGATGCCGAGATTCTGCATCGCGATGATATACGGGGACGATGCGCCAGTGGAGCCGCCCTGCGTGGTGAGAACGTGGATCCGTGTCGCGCTGTCGTATGGGAGGACGATCCCGACACAGATGGCTCCCAGGATGAAGAAGCAGCCGAATCGCCAGTATCTGCTGCGGTCAGTGACTCGTCCATGAGAGAGGAGAAAACCCAACTTACACTGTCTTGAATGCCGCCTTGATGGTGATACGGGGATAGACCGCCTCTGCTGACACCATGGCGATATACTCTGGGCCGCAGACGGTGAATGCCGCCACGAATAGGGATCCTAAGAAACCCTCGAACCTCCCCAGCGCTCCGGTGGTGATGTACTCCGCAAAAGCGCCCGGACTGTTCCAATACCGAAATCCGTACGCGTCGTGCTTCGGGTTGCCGCCCACCATGGTGACGAAGGTGAAGAAGAACAAGATGAAGACCAGAAACACCTTGCCCATGGACAGCCAGAACTCGGCCTCACCGAACCAGCGAACCGCGAAGATGTTGATGACGGCGTACAGCGTGATGCAGGCCAGGCAGACGGCCCACACGGGGATGTCGTCCCTCCAGAAGGTTAGGACGAGGTTGAGGGCCGAGATCTCAAAGGGGATCAGGATGGCTTCATAGAGGAAAAAGTTCCAGCCTGCCACAAAGCCGAATGAGTCGTCGACCCATTTTCCAGCGAACCGGATGAAGGAGCCAGACACGGGCATGTAGACGGTCATTTCGGCGAGACTGCTGTTGATACACCCGATGACACAGCAATAGAAGAGGAACGAGATGAGCATCGACCCCGGACCGCCCTCGAGCAAGGCCCATCCGATACTGACGAACTGCAGATCTCTCGAGTCAACTCCATACTCTATGCGGACACGACACCGACGCCCTTCGAGAACCGGGTGACCTCAGATGCAAGGAAAGAGCGAACTCACGAGCGCCGTCCCAATCGTGCCTCCAATGGCAATGAGTTGGATCTGACGGTTGCGCAACGACCGACGGAGTTTATCAACATTCTCGACCTGTCCGAGCTGCCCGCCGCTGGGGCTGAGTTGCAACTCGAGCACCTCCTGAGGGATCTCCTTGGACTCTGCCATTTTGGCCTCCATTTCTTCTTTTCTTCTGAGAAGCAACAAATATGCTACTACCCGTAGTGCCGAGTAGTGGTGGATGAGCGACCCATTGTGCCCGGCGGGTGGGACAACTACAACTCGTCCTTTATAAACAAGAAACGCCTCCTCCGGTATCCATGTAACACCCTCGGGAAGGGATCCGATATAGATTCACATATTCCCCCTTGTTTTACCCCTTATAACGATAGTAAGATAATATCAAACAGTCCAACGGCAACCTAACGGTAAAACTGGCGAAGAAACACGGGACGATTTCCTATAAAGACGTGAGATTTATGGGTGAAGAGACTGGGTTCGGGACTTTGTTACTGCATCTGTATACAGCCTGCCTCGCACTTTTTCGGTCAATACGGTAGATTGATAATTTGGAACTTTTGTCGTTATCTCAGTGATATCGGATTGGGAGCTGGGAGCTTATCGACAAAGAATATTTACTCGTATCTATGTAAGGCAGGCAGGCAGATATAGAATGGTACTCTTGTAATCTACCAGGAGGGCATGGATGATAGAGGAAGTGGCTAGTGGCATACCTGACGTATTGACGGTGATGGAGGAAGCCATGCTCGGTCCGTGTCGGGAGTTTGATCTTCTGGATTACCCTCGTCTTTCCATTCAATGTCAAGGCCGGGAGTGGGAGAGGGAGAAGAGGTGGTCTAATCTGGTATCTGCACACAACGACTGTCCGAACCCCTCCTTGTGAGGATCTAATGACTCACTGCCATGGCAACAGAAGACACTATCGGTTCGCCTTCTCAAAGACAGACTGCAAGTCCAACGACGGATCCTCGTTGTCGACGACCCCCAGCACCGTCGTCGGCTTCTTGTACCCAAGCAGTGAGAGCATCTTGTCGTTCATGGTGAGCACTTTGCTCCTCGGCACCGCCAGGAACTGGTTCTCCTCGGTGCGCATGTTGCCCCGGACGAAGAACAGGCCGTGGACCTTGCGCACCTCGCCGGGGACCGAGTTGTGGCCGCCCCCGTGGTAGCAGGATGCCAGGAAGATCAAGGCGGAGCCCGGTTCCATTTCTTTTCATGCGACAACAACAACAACATCATCAGCTCACACCAGACCAAGGGACCACGATGGGGGATTAGAATTGCAGGGCCTTCAGAGCAGAGAGGGGAGAGGGAGACTTACCGGCAAAGCATACCTCGTCCGTCCGTGGACGTCGGGTATCGTCCCATTTGTGAGATCCTGGCACGAACATGGTGGCCCCGTTCTGTCGCGTCGTCCTCGACCCGGCAATCAGACATCCAAACTGGCCGGCCTTTTTGAGGTCAAAGCTTTCTCCGCCGTGTCGGACCCCGTGCACGTTGTCGTCTCGGTGCAGCCGTTGTCGAGGCGCGCCGTGGCCGATGTAGAAGGTGATGCTGATGCTCAGCAGCGGGTCGATGGTGTTTTCCTCGACAATCTCCTCGCGGATCACCTTGAATTTCTCCTGCAGGATCGACGTCCGCAGTTCCTCGAGCACGGGCGATTCAGCACAGATCTTAGCCATGGTCGCAGACTTGCCGACCAGGCCCGGGATGGCCAGCGTTTCCTTGGGGATGATGTGCAGCGCGCTCTTCTCGGTCGACCGGGTTTGTGCGCGATGGGCCTCGACGTCGCGGTCCACGGCGGCCATGTCTTCAGCCGTGGCGAATCCCGTCAGGATAACGCCCCCGTCCCGCTCGAGTACGCCCAGGATCTCATCGATCGGGGCGCTCGCAGGTATCGAAGTTATGGAGACGGACGGTTCGTATGACGGGTCAATGGGCGCTGGAGGCCCAAACATTGAGATGCCCATCTTTTTTCTACGTGCTGAGAGCGAGGGTTTAAAGGTCTCCTGTACTAGAAGGTGCTTTACAGAACGTTGCAGCGAAGAAACTGGTCAGTAAACAAATTTCTGAGACAATCTCTTCGTAGCAGATCCCCTTGAACGAAATTTACCTTGAATCCAAGGGTGACTGACGTCTGAGAAACGCCACAGGGCGTGAGATGGAGGTCGAGGCTGAGCGTGTGCGGCAAGCAAGTTGGACCTCGCTTGTACCCAATGATAAGCCTGGGAACCCCTGGAAACGTGGGACTTTGTTGCCCGTTTCGCCCCTTCTAACGGCGATGTGCGTCTCTGTAAACCGCCCAATCCGGGGAACATGGTGGGGGGCTGGGAGACTTTTCAAGATAACATACCACAGTAAATGGTAGGAATAAGGACGATTTGATAGGACATATTGTCACACTGTCAATAGAACGATAATTCCCGGTTCTACAGGAGCGTCTTTTGGCTGTCCAGCATGACTCGAAGTAATAACTGGCAGGGCGAAGAAGAGGCTCAATTGCCTGTCTGTACAGCACCGATTTCACAGGATGCCATGGCAGGATTGTCTGGGCTGCCTTTAGTAAGAGATCCTTCTTCTTCAGTCTTGCGATACCTGGACGAATCTGGAGAGTATCGAAAATAGCTGGTGCTTGTTTGCCATTGACTTGATGCTTATCATTGTTAGGTATCAAGATCGGGGACATTAACGTCTCTGTTCTAGATAAATCCCGCAATAACTTGTTCGCAAGTGGTGTTTTGAACGGGTAGGGTACCGATGCATTCAAACTGTCCTTTTCCGCACCGATAACTCTGCCAGGAGATGGCCGATCAAAGAGGTCTGTCCGAGGAGTGGATTTAACTTCCCGAAATGGCAATTTCTCTGCGGGCGATAAGGGACAAGGCTGTATTTGCTACCGGCACCCGCCTGGTTCAGATCAAGGGAGTGACTTCGCTTGGTTGCTAGGTCGCTGAACCGCATCTCGTATAAGAGATTACGAGCACGAGTGTAATTACCTGCGCTAACCACAGCTTTGGTCGCTGCTTGATGGTCCTTGATGGTCGTGGTCCATTCGATTGAGAGTGGGAGTGACAGAAAGCGAGGGTCAATCCGAAAAAGACGTCGATAAAGTCCCTCTTGCTTGATCCTGGATGACTGGTACTCGGTGTATACCCAAGACTGAGCAATGAAATAAGACTCCCCTACCACACTGCAATATTCCGCAGCTCTTTCTTACGCCTCCATCCCCCACATTCTCCCGCATTTCTTCCCCGTCGTCCCTCTCTCCACATAGCCTCTGGTGTGCTCGGCTGTTCTCCCATTTGTCGTTCGTGACTGACATCCAAGCCTCGACTCAATATGGGGACTTTTCGCGGGGACTTTTGGACACCATCACCATATGCCGCTCCCAAGAACCAATGACTTGAAGATGAGATTGTGGAGACATGATGGCGGCTGGACCTGCGAATATCGAATATGGAGAAGCTTGGAAATGGCTCCAATGCGATTGCTTGTTTGAGACGTGAAATAAAACGACATCGCGAGAAGCATTTGGACAATATGCCGTTTGAAGGTGGAATAGCACGACAAACACAACCCTCACGGTCAAACATCCTAGCAGCACCATGGTCAAAGCACATGATCTCTACAACGATTTCGCGGCGGCCTCACGACCGTTTCGGGCCGATGCTGATATCGCTGATGTCGAGGTTGAAGGCCAGATTCCCAAGGAACTCGATGGCACGTTCTACCGGGTATGAGTCCCTCGTTCGTGCTGATGAACGTCTGGAGGAACGCGTCGAGAATGCTGAACGTCCCCCTTCGACAGGTGATGCAAGATCCATACTATGATCGCGATTACTACCTCGATGGGGCCAAGACAATCCCCTTTGATGGCGACGGGAGCATCAGCGCGTTCCGCATCAAGGACGGGAAAGCATCTTTCCAGCAACGCTATGTCATGACCAAGCGTCTGGTGGCGGAGAGAAAGGCCGGACGGTCCCTGTTCGGCATGTATAGGAGTCCCTTCTCCCATCATCCCTGTGTCCGGGCGGTGGCGGACACGACCGCCAACACCAATGTGATTCTCCATGCGAAGAAATTGCTGGCCCTGTGTGAACACGGGCCCGGATACGTGCTCGATCCCAGTAAGTCTCCCTCACCAACGCGCCAAACCGCTTGGTGGTTCTCCGTTGCTGATCCCTCAGCAGATAGCCTGCGCACTATCGGCATTGATATGTTCCCTGGAGAAATCGATCCAAATCTTCCATTCACGGCACACCCACATGTATGTCCCCCCTGCATCTGCCAAACTTTCGAACGTCCTTTCGCTGACAAGTTTTCGAGGTTGACCCGGTCACTGGGGAACTATGTGCCTTTGCATACGGCCTGAAGGGAATTGGAACGCCTCAAGTAATGATTCTCCCTTCATGCGGCTGCTAATACATACACGAAAACCCCTTGCTAAACACAAGGCCAGATCTCGGTGTACCTGATCGACAAAGACGGCAAGAAGACCTTCCAGCGCGATTTTGAGTTTGATAGAGACGAGATCAACGACTCGGGCATGATTCACGACTGCGCCATCGTGAGTAAAACATGCCCTTTTCTTGGCTACAGGAGAAAAAAAGACCTTGTCAAAGCTAATGAGTGGACCAGACGGAGAACTATATCATCCTCTACAGAATGCCGTTCATTGTCGACACCAAGAATGTCGAAGAGCCCGGAAAGCATCAGTGGTGAGTTTAGCATCTCCGAAGGCTGACACCCGTGTGTATGTGTGTGTGTCTAACATAATCATTCCGGAATAGGTATTACGATGAAGAGGCTCCCGCGTGGTTTGGTCTTGTCCCGCGCCGCGACGCCACGAAACCCGTCCGGTGGTTTCAGTATAAAAACTGCATGGCCATCCACAGTGGTGGATCTTTTGAGGAGAATGGAAAGGTGTAAGGGAGGCCTTGAGATTTACTCGTTGAATGTGTTGTGAGAAAAGCCGGCTGATCAATTTGTGTGTGCGCCAGATATTTCGATTCTTCCACGGCCTCACACAACGCCTTTGCCTTCTTGCGTATGTTTGATTTCTCTCTCTAGTCTTTCTGTCGTTTAGCTGCTAACAACCCTCTTCAAAAGCATGCCGACACGGCCCGAACCCGCCACCGAGCGACATCACCGTCAACTATATTCGATGGTGCATCGATCCAAACGCTGTGTCTGACAAGATGGAAGACCCGGGTAGGCCATCTCCACGACTGATAGACCGCATCTCATGGCTGACGCTTGGAATCAAGAGGTCCTGCTGAGTGTGCCTTGCGAATTTCCCCGGGTGGATGAGAGGTTCCTGACGAAGAAACGTGAGTTCCGTCACGCCCCACAGAGGATGAGTCTGAACAGCATAGCTGATCAACTTGTATGCAGCTCGGTACACGTTCTTGGACTGCTTCAAGCCTGAGGCGGGCAACGCGGCCCAGCTGTACCAGGGTCTCAACGCCCTGGCTCGTATCGACTCGCAGAAACAGGAAATCGAGTACTTCGTGCCGGGTCCGGACTGTCTCGTCCAGGAGCCGGCTTTTAGCCCGAGAAGCCCTGATGCGCCGGAGGGAGATGGCTTCTTGATCACCATGGTCGACAACATGGCTCGCCACCGGAACGAAGTGGTACGTCCTGACCTCGTCTTCACACACACCGACGTTATATTGAGGCAACTCACGGTGTGTCTCACCCAAGAGTCGAAGTGATACTGACGTCGCTTGTAGATCATCCAAGATACTCGCGACTTCCAGAAAGTCGTGGCCAAGATTGTCCTGCCTTTCCGTAAGTTTGCTGAAAACCCCGGAGTCCGAGAATGATAGGGAGTTGGTCAGTTTCCCCCGGGAGAGACTGAACGTGATTCTAGGACTAAGGTCTGCCGTCCACGGCAACTGGGTCGACGCTGAGCGTATTCCTGCGACCGAGCCAAGTGTGATTCAACCTTTTGCAGACATTTACCCAGATGTTCCGACGGTGCGGTTTTGAATCGTACCACCGAGGATTACGGATGAGGTGGTTTATCGAGAGGGACGATTCTGCATGTTCTCTCAGTGCTATGGTTCGGGTGAAGGAGGAAACCCAGTATCTCGCGGTGGCTGGCTTGTACAAAGAGTAGTACTTCCGCCAGCTGGCCTGTGTCAACTTTTGTCGGCGCATGTTTCGACTGTCAGGGAACCATTGCAGGTTCTTGGTTTCTTCCATGGCGGAAGGGCTGGTGTTTCATCCTCCAATCACCTTCAGTCGACTTTTAGGGCTGGCTTCCTCAATCATATATAGTCGATCTCTGTCTGGGAGTGCGTCTCAGATAGTACGCCGTGATACATGAGAATCTGTATTTAATTGATTATCTACTTGGAAGTGTGCATACTGACAACTGTGCATTACGGTTTATGAGGCAAAGTCGCACAAGTAATGAAATACAGGAATACAGGACTCCAGGAGGAGTGCGTTCCATGAACAACGATCGTATGCTCCAAAAAATATCCAAAGGACTCAAAGTGACCGACTGTATCCGTCTGAGTGTGGCTAATTCTCTCCCTAGCTGCCGTCTAAAGGCTTTGAAACATCTTTGACTTGACTTCTGTCAGCTTTCTCTCATCTATTTGATCGGATCTATCACTCCAGTAGTGAGGATGTGGAGGGGAGAGAAGGGTGAGAACTTCCCCGGACAAGAGATCCAAGAATGTGGGGCACAAGAGTAAACCCAGGCTCTTCAAGGTCCAGTCAAGTCGAGGTTGATTACCTTTATTTATTGAATAATAGTGTTTCCTCGCCCACAGCCGGGCACCACACACAGAAGTAGTGAGGGATTGAGAAGGAGGAGGTCTCCCAGCAACACTCATCCTTCTGGATTCTAATGTAAGAGGTGATTGAACAGATCATTTACCTCAACATGCGACATCGAATCAACAAGGAGTGCCGTCTCTGTCGGCGGCAGTTCTCAAAGGCAGAACATCTCCATCGCCACATGCGCAGTCGTGAGTGATCAGTCCCTGGCGAGAAGGGGGGAGCGAAGAGGTGGAGGACAAGGCTAACCACCAACCACGGGTCCAGATACGGGGGAGAAACCCTTTCGATGTCTGCACTGCCAGAAACACTATGGAAGAAGGTAAGTTGCTACCCTCTGTCGCCACAGCACTTTGGCCATTGACGAGTCGGTCTGCGCTCTCCCAGGGATGTCCTACGGCGACACATACGAGATCACCACGGCGAGGCGAGAGAATTCTTGAATGATGCCGGCGGAGTCGAGGTATATGGACGCAATGAGGGCAATCTTCTTGCAGGCCACGCACAAAGCCTCCGCTCTCCTAGACGAAATCTGGGGACAAGCCTCAGTCCTCCTATCTCGTCTACTTTACAGAGATCGAACAATGTCGTCGACGATGCCAACTCCATCGACGATCTGCCCCCTTTAGCGGGTCTCGCGTTCGAGGAAATTTTCGATTCGATGACCGACCCTGTAACATCTGCTGCTCTCAGAGACACCGTAATGGACGCTGCTGTCTATCCTCACCACACATCACAGGCCATACCTGAACAGGCCTACCAGGAAGCAATCGAGAGTTTCGGGGTGGCGGATGTGATCTCAATATCTGGAGTTAGTGAGGCCAACGACATGGATGCGTATGTCCATTCCTCAGACAGCAATATCGGACAGTTGACCGCTACTGAGTTTATCGACGGAACAGGTAGCCAGCATCTCCATGACTACCTATCCCCGGCCACCTCTTTTGCCCTCACTTTTACAGGCACAAGTCTTCACGGACCCGAGTTGCCCGATCAATTTGAATGGACTTCAGAGGAGACGGTCCAAGAACAACTGGAGTCGATTGAGGCTAATTCGACACGGCACTATCCTGGGGACGAGCGATATCAAGTTGAAATTCCCGAATCTGCATCGACTTCAGGGATCAATGGAAGGAGGTGGTTCAGTCTTTCCTCGTCCCGATTGCCGAAACATGTCCTCTCTCCGCGTGAATCTGTTTGGCCCTCTAAAGTCATGGGGGGAGGACATCAACAGACCTCGCGCAATTGGTGGGAATTTGTCATCTGCTGCTGTGAAGCCAATATCTTCTGCCATCAAAGTGTTCATACTGCCACAGAGTCGACAGAGAGCCCGACATTCGGTTCGCACGCATTTGGCTTCAATGAGGAGTGCCGTTCACAACTCATGCAAGCTTTCTGTCTTTCGCAATCGAGCCGTCGGCCTGACGTGGCGGATGCCTTTCCATCACAACCACCATGGTCTCGTGGAGGCCGTCCATCCAGCTTGGAAGCACAGTTTCCATCACTGGAAGCTCTGTCCGCATCACTGGGCCTCTACTTTCGTCACTTTCACCCGCTCATGCCTTTTATCCACCGTGTGACTTTTCACGCCCCCGCGGCAAACCTGTCGGTCCTCTTCGCCATGTGTCTGATCGGCCTGATGTTCCTAGACGAGGCACGAGCGAAAAGATGTATTGGAGCGATGCTCCCTACCGCGATTCAAACATGCAGAAGAGACTTGGATCGACACGCTCATCAGACACACTTCTCGGCCGAGGTGCTGGCCTCGCTGGCGTCCGCCATGCTGCTCCTGTGCATATGTCACATGGCCAACTTTTACGACGAGACGTCTCGGTTGATGTACATTGAGGCCATGTCACTGTCGCAGCGCCGACATCTCTTCCCGACGGACGACGGCAACGAGGCCCTCAGAGGCTCACTGAACGGGGCGAGTCAGCGGGAAAAGTGGAAAGCGTGGGCCCGTGTCGAAAGCACCAAGCGGCTCTGCGTGTGTCTTTTGATGGGAGACGCCATGTTCTCCCACAAGTACGAGGTCAAGCCCATGCTCCGCTTCGAACTGCTCGAGTACATTGTCCCGAGCGACCTCGCGACCTTTGAGGCTCCAAACCAGGCCGTCTGGTGGAAGCTCTTGCTCCAGTCGCCGTCGGGGAGGATGGTCACGTTGCACACGTTGAGTCTTCCGCGGTCAATCGGCAACTACGAAATGCACGGGCTGTTGGCAATCTGTTGGGCTCAAGTGCTGGAAGGACAACTCGACCGCCCAGGCGGTGCTGTCGACTCGGACTGCGCTCGGGCAGGTAGGCATGACAGGCCGCTTGACGACCACGCTCGCATCCAGCGAACGGCCGCCGTGCTCTCGGGCCTGTACGACGCATATAAAGACGCATTCACATCCCTCAACCCCAACTGTCTCGTGTCCTGGCACAACACGTGCATGAGCCTCGCGGCAGATCCGCTCCTCTTCCAAGACGCCGCCGGGAGGAACGGTGCCGCGCGGGCGCGAATAGCCCGCAACGCCGTGGCTCAATGGTGCAGAACCCCCACCGCCCGACGAGCATGCCTCCACGCCGCGCAGACGTTCCGCATCATGAGTCAGCGCAAGATCTCCGAAGGCATGATGTTCCAGTCAGAGACGGCGCTGTTCGAGTCCGCCCTCGTCCTGGGTCTGTACCTGTACTTGAGACCCGCCGTGCCTGAGGTGTCGGCGTGGGCATCGTGGGTCATCTCTGGAGGAGGGTACGAAGAAGAAGAAGAATACGAACTATTGGACGATGTAGATTGGACACGGATCGGAGTGCTGGGCCTGAGCGATTCGGTGGAATGTCTGGGTGACGACGTTCCACGTTCGTCAGATTCAGGTTCCCCAAGCCGACGTTTCATACGGGACGGCGACCTCGCGCGCCTTTCCTTTGACGGCATCCCATGCGCCCCCGGCTTCGCGTCTGCTCAGCGCATCTTCCTCGCCTTTTCTACCCTATTGAGCCAGGTCGCGCCGTGGAATGCTGGGAGGTATTGTCCGATCCTGCGGAGCTTGAGTGAATGTAACTTGTAGTTGACCAACCGGGCTGGCGGGCCTCTGATAGCCTGGCTGGTGCAGACGAGTTCGGTCCTTGAGCTCCTGATGCGCGAGATCGAGGTTAGTATCATGTCAGAAGAAAATGTTGTAGATTTTAATCACTCGAAGTCGGGGCTTGGTCTGGCTACAGACTAGAACGCTCCTGTCTCACAATGGAGACCGTCGACGATCGAATTGTATGGTCTCCGCACCCGCCACCCTCGAATCCTGATAAGCCGCCAGTGCATCGTAGCTACGAACGCATTTGCATCGCCGAATCGACTGCAGAGAGCGGCGAAGACAACCTGGAGGTGGAATTTCGGGCTCGAAAAAGGAGGCGAAGTGGTGAGACTTGATCATTTGGCAGCCCAGCAAACTTCTTTTGAGATGCCCGAAACGGACTTTACAGCACCAACTCTAATTACCAGGTACACAACTCGACAAGTCGATAACTAGTGAACGAACACATCATTATTTGTGGCGCTATTGCCAATGTCCCACCAGTGACGTCAGTCAGAATGCGGGCCTGAATTGGCCGAACAAATCTGGGCAGCAATCTATAACCTGGATGAAACTGAATGCAGCAACCTTCCAAGTCGTCTCTTGTAGACACAAACTGGATCAGAGATTCATGTGACGGGTTTTCGCAATGGAGTCCAGGTACGAGCACATCTAACCAGACTCATGAGTTCGAGGACTTAACACAAGGATAGGAGCGATGACAATGACAGGGATTCCCACTGGACCGAAGTCATGTCCATGTCTGAGCACATTAGACGCCGTGCTATGCAGGTATGAGACGATATTCACGATCTGCTTCCTCAGAAACTGGGCCAGGTTGCCAATCTCCGGCCGTCGTTGCTGACACGGCCGTGTCAAGCAATTGGTAGATGTTTTTGAGGAATACAAAGATATAGATGGGTACCCTCCGCTGTGGGGGGACGAGGTGAGCCACTGACAGATCATACACTGAGACTATGAGCCTAAGAAAAGGACCCAACAGATTGAGTACCAACTCGTGGCATATGATGATTCAAATAAGCGGGTAAATCTGCTCCTTAAACAGGAATATGTGCTCAACAGTCTGGAGAGAGGAGTACACACGCGCGCTAATAACACCAGTCCAGCTGCAAGGACTCCCAAGTATTTTCCCTTCCTTTTCCTTTCTTCGAGTACAATCAGATCTCACGATAGTTAGCAGCGGTCATGTAGTCACTCCAGAATTCCAGCCAGAATTTGGAAGCTTCATGGTCGAGGCTACACCTGGGAAGCCTTATGATAGCAGCAGGATCGAGAGCTTGCTAAGTGTAGAGGAAAACATGCGAAAACGGTGAGAACAGCGTGTGGCGTTGGGAGACATCGTCTGACATGCGATATCATCAGGAGACGAATGATACAAGCATGCCTTGGGCCGGGAGAAGCAGTCGTCACCATGCCAGGGTTCCCACGCCTGGGTGCTCCAGGGCTCTACACGGAACCTGCCCTGCCCACTCACGGACTCTTGTTGCAATCACAGTTCCTTCCGGATGGATTGATCAGCACGCATGACCGTTATGGTACAATTCACGATAACATGTCGGCGCGCCGTGCAGGGCGTCCATGCAGGGTCAAGATACCAATCTACCGTGACAAGAACACGCCCTGGCCGTGGAGGGAGTCACTTCAATTTCCTCACCGGAACAATGCTCAAGAGGATGATGCAGAACAGAATCACGACAGTTCAGCCGAGAACTTTATATATGGCGACAGCATGGCATTCGGGCCAAGCTTCTGCGGGCTCCAGGTCACGATGCAAGCGCGAAACCTCCGAGAAGCACGTTACCTGCACGATCAGTTATGTCCGCTGGGCCCCATCCTCATGGCATTGTCAGCGGCGTCGCCCTTCTTTCGTGGATTTCTCACGAATACAGACGTTCGATGGAATCAGGCGGCTTCGGCGGTGGATGATAGAACGACGAATGAGCTTCATTCAAATGTACTAGCCTTTGAAAAGCCGACTCGAGCCCATTGGCTGACGACGAAAGCAGACTATCAAGCCCGCTGGCTTGCATGCACGCTGGTCATCGACGGCAATGTACATCTCTGACGACTCGCAACTTCAGCCGGTCTACAACTCACCTGAGATTAAAGTTGACCCGGCAATCAAACGATACCTCGAGTATCACAGCAACATGGATTCCCTGCTGGCTTCGCACTACGCCAACATCCTTACTCGCGATCCTATCGCCTTGACAAAGAACGAGCTCCGATCCTACGAAAGCCTCGATCTCTTTGAGATTCTCCACTCTGCAGTCTGGCCGCATGTCGACTTCAAACTGCCCTATAAAGACGGCGCGGCAGGATGGCGGGTTGAATTTCGACCCCTGGAAGTCCAATTGACCGATTTCGAAAACGCGGCATTCGCGGTGTTTGTTACCTTAGTCGCCCGCACTATTTTGCACTATCGCCTCAACTTCTACATCCCCATAGATAAGGTCGCAGAGAACATGGAGAGAGCACACACGCGAAATGCGGTCCGCGAGCAGAAATTCTTCTTCCGTCTGAAGGTGGAGCGGGCGACATTAGATGAAGAAGCGCCGGAATCAGAAAATCCAGACCAAGAATATACACTTATGACCATGACAGAGATCATGAATGGATCTCTGAGCTTGCGAAACTCAAAGGGTCACTCATTCCCGGGCCTTATTCCGCTCGTGCAGTCCTACATTCTAGAGGTCTTTGAGAGTGTCTCCGGTGATGATAGACGGACGATAGACAAGTACCTGGACATTATTCAAAAAAGGGCCACGGGGGAAATGCTCACACCGGCGAGCTGGATGCGACAGTTTGTGCAAGGGCATCAGGACTATCACCAGGATAGCTTCGTCTCGGAGCTTGTCTGCTATGATCTGATGAAAGTCGTCAAGGCTTTGGGAGATGGGAGGATTGATCCTGCAGAGCTGTTTCTTTGTGGACATGTGACGAAGAAGGATCACGTCTAATCTGGCTGTTTTTAAAGTCGATAGTCAAATCCCCGTGGCCCTTATTGGCCAGCCACCGTGCCAAGGCCCACACAGTTAGAACAGCGACACTCCCCATGGGGTTATCACGGTATTCAGAATACCGGTTTCGGAACCACGCTTTTGGGCTCTTGATTCATTCCGAGGGTCACTTCGCCGTGGTTATTCGGTTAAGGCGGCTCATTAGCAAGCGTATTGTGCGTTTGTGTTGAATAATCGAATTCCTTTGTGCACACGCTTTGTCTCTAGATATTAAGCTCATCTGCTCCCTTCTGACCTCTTCATTCTCTCCTACCTCGAGATCCCTACAATCTATCGTCGCCAATACCTCAAGATTTCATTATGCGGGCTGCCGACCATGATTGACGCTGGACAGAGTCGCCCCGGGACGAAATATGCGACCTTTGCTAATCAGGCAGGGGCTTCCGTACTCAAAAATCCTCCGAGCCCCAGTTCTTTGTGTCCTGCCCAGCACCGACCGGGAACAAATCTCGGCAGGTCACTGAGTTGTTGACAACCCCAATCCAGCAGCAGCCGTTATCGCCAACCCTCGCGTCAGGCGCCCTGGGGTGTTTGGAGGCTTAATGTTTCAGACTCCTCTTCGTGAGTTGGGGAAGAACCAAACGTCACGCCAGCCACCAACACTTGCTCGATAACACCGACCATACTACCGCGGTTATTACTCTCCCCGCATTCTTCAATGTCGAGTTCTGCAAGATGCCTAGGCATTTCGGTGCCTTGCTATGGATCATTCCAAATTTTTGTACGGGGATGATGGCCGTTTTCGACCGATGCATATTCTTGGCTGTGGGATCCTCTCCCACAAACACGAGCAAAAGGTCAAACCTGAGTTGCTCCACTGCCCGGAGAGCCCGCAATTGCCACCCCTCTCAATGCGGATTCCCACGGTTCTGTACACCACCAGCTTTTGAGGGATGACCTGCCTCACGATTACGAGAAAATGGGTAGGCCAAGACCATACTAATGATGCACAATCAGCAATCTTTTCCGCACAGGTCGTGGACACGTTGCCACCACGTTCCATCGCTTGTCGATCGACTGGATCATGGGCTCAGGTCAGGCCAGGATGTGCTGGTGGTGCTGGTACAAGGGGGGGCTTTCGCTTCCGTTGATGAACAGCCCAAGTCACGCCAGTCCATGCAGCCGACAGGCTGAGAAGGAAAAACAATCTGACTGAGTTTGGAGAAGCTTACTCGGACAGACTGACTGACTATGGGTGATGGGTTTGGTTATCTACCCAGTGGGGTTTCCAAGCTCTCACCAAGACTTTTGGCGGCAACAAGTGACGCTCGCCCAGTGACTAGGAGCCACGGATGGGCAAGTCAAGCACCCGTATTCAACCCTATCTGGTGCTTGCTACACCTCCAAGAAGGCGTGGATGCAACGTCCATCATTCGTTCGGGTGCCGGTAATGGCGTGTGCCACGCCCTCAAATCTTATGCCACCAACATATCTCTTCCAAGAAGCCAGGAATCACAGTCGATGGAAATTTGACACTGCTGGGAACAAATTCTGGCTGGACCGGGCGATTACCTTGACTAAAGCACAGCCTACTATACTTCTGGTCAAAGGAGCTCACTTTCGGCCCACCAAACCCATACCCCGGACTCCACCGGAGCGCCCCAAACCTGGGGTCATTTCAACCTCCGGCACTCACCTGGTAGGTTGGTTTTCTCGCCCGAATGCACCCTCATTCTAGGGGGCTACCCTCTTTTAGGTGGCACCTCGAAAGCCTGGGCATCTGTTCAGCTTTTGGCGAAACGACAGGTTGATCCCTGCTGCTGGTGCATTCATGACCAGGGTATTTTCGATCCTGTGCTCCGGTGGAGTGAACTCGACTACGCTGGTTTTGGTCTCTGGACCTCGCTTTAGTGTCTTGTCAATATCACACAATCCCTCCTTTGCCTGATCAAAACGTGGATCGAGCATACTCGAGCATAAAGGATCCAGCGTCCCCGTCATAGGAAGTCTGCCTCACTCAGTTTTCCCCTCACTCTTTCCCAGAAATCCCTCCCTCTCTCTCCCCTATCGTTCTGTGCTGCTCCTGCAAAACACACCCAACATGGCCGCCGTCCCAGTCCCTGTCGAGAAAAACTTCGACATCAATGAACTCGAGCGTGCTGATACCACCGTGTCGGCTGACTCGGACAAGTTGAACGACGCCAGGATCAATGCCTTCACCCCAGAAGAACAGAAGAAGATCATGTGGCGTATTGACAGACGGCTCGTGCTCACGTTGGGCTTTCTCTACTGCGTCTCCCTGATGGATCGTACCAACACTGGTATCGCCGTCGTTGCCGGTATGGGAGTGGATCTCGTTCTCATCGATAATCGCTACTCGATCCTCGTGCTTGTCTTCTTCATCACCTACGTCTTGCTGCAACCTCCAGCTACAGTCGTCCTGCGGAAAATCGGCCCCCGCAAGTTCTTGCCCACCATCACTTTACTCTGGGGCATGACCATGTGTGCCGCCGGCTTCGTCAAGACCTGGACCGAATTGACTGGTCTTCGTGTGATTCTTGGTGTGTTTGAGGCTGGCTTCTTCCCAGGTACGTCCCAAAGCAAAATGGTTGTGGTTCTCAGTTGGGGGAATATGAGTTATCAACGCAGAAGAAACCCTGAGTCCACCGACCATTATTTTTTTCCCGCCATTTCTGAGCTGACCACGGCATTTTAGGCTGTGCCTATCTCCTGAGCTGCTGGTATCCTCGTTACGAACTCCAGAAACGCAATGCCGTCTTTTACCTCATCGGATCTATGGCGTCCGCCTTCGCCGGTATCCTCGCCTATGGTTTCTCCCAACTGAAGAACCACGGCTCCGGTCCGAAATGGTGGGGTCAGCATTATGGCCCAACTGCAGCAGACCCTGATGCGCCATCAGGCATTCTCCCTGGTATCGCGGGCTGGAGATGGATCTTCATCCTTCAGGGTGCCCTCACCTGCGTCCTGGCCATCGGCTCCTACGTCCTGATTGTGGATTTCCCCGAAAAGGCCACAAACTCCTTTGGGATCAAATTCTTGAACCAAAAAGAAGTTGATTTCGTCGTCGCCCGGATCGAAAAGGATCGCCACGACGCCATCCCCGAGGAATTCAGACTGGGCAAATACTTGAAGTGTGCTTTGGACTTGAAGGTCTGGGGTTTCGCCGCGCTCTTTGGCCTTACAACGACAAACACATATGCTATTGCGTATTTCCTGCCTATCATTCTCAATGACGGCATGGGATTCGGTGTCGCCGCCTCGCAGTGCCTGATTGCGCCTCCCTACGTCCTGGCGGCCATTGTCATGTATCTTTTCGCCTACCTTGGCGACAAGTTGCATCTTCGATCGCCATTTATCCTTGCAAATGGTTGCCTGCTCCTGATTGGTAAGTGTGATGTCGCCCTGCACTCTTGTTCGTCTCCTAATATCTCCTCGCAGGCCTCCCTCTTCTCGGCTATCTGGACAGCGTCCCAGCTCGCTATTTCGGTGTCTTTGTCGCGACAACGGCGTGCAACGCCAACGTGCCCTGTGTGCTCACTTGGCAAGCGAACAACATCCGTGGGCAATGGAAGAGAGCCCTCTGCTCGGCCACGTTGGTCGGCGCGGGAGGTATCGGAGGAATCATCGGAAGTACGGTCTTCCGCGAGCAGGACAAGCCCGATTACCACCCAGGCATCCTCACCTGCATGCTCTCCAGCGCCCTGATCATCCTCATCACCCTGGCTTTGGATTTCAAGTTCTATCGGGCCAACCAGCGAGCGGCCGCCGGTGGCAAGGTGATCGAAGGCCTCGCAGGATTCCGTTACACATACTGAGCGAAACGCGCAACTGAATGGCTCCCCGCAGTCTCCATATCCACCGCTACCTCGGAATATGTACGAAATCCCTGCTGTCACAGGGGTGAAGAGATACAAAGCGGTTCGCAAACCTCGTCTATACCAGCGGGAGGGGGCGGAATGCAATGCCAAGCATCACGTGACGCGCCTCCGCGGGACGACGGCAGGACTTGACTCGTGAGAAAACGCCTTGGAACTTTTGACGAGATAGTATATACTTTATTAAAAGATACATTATTGCTTCATCCTACGTGTCTCAGAGACTGTGATACAAAAATAAATCGTGGCAAGGGGGACATAAAGCGGCCGCTTTCCCGAAAGAACCCTGGCAATTCTGCAGGTGAGAGAGAGAGAGAGAGAGAGACTGAAGAGTCAGCGAACTCGTTCGTGGTCCCCTGGTCCCTGGTCTCTCGTCCCAGACAAGAGGGCAGGGAACCGAGTCCCATATCCGTTGGACAGGTATGTATGTAGGTGTATCTACCGAGCATGTCCGCGTACCGAGCCCTCGGTATGAGATACACACACACACGGAGTACAAGTGCCTGTACCGACTCCTTGTACATACATAGGGACTCGCAAGTCCCGAGTGGGCCGTGGCTGCAAATCTGCCTCCTCATGCACCTACCTAAATATTGAAAGACGCTTTGCCATTGTCAGATATCGAGCATGGGGACCCGAATGCCGGTACAAGTACGGATCCTATCGCTTACTCGCCGATCCCGTCCGTCACGCTCCCACTGCAGGCACCAGCGCTATGTATGTACCTTCGAATACGCTACTCGTTCGATGTTTTTGCACGTCTGCCGGTGTGGCGGCGATTTCCAGAACGGATTCGCTGTAGGACAGAGAAGAGAATACGAGTCAGCGACGGGATAGGGATGTAGAAAGAAGAACTTCCTGATATACTCGTACGTATTGTCCTGTGTAGAAAGAGGAACTTCGTAGAGGCTCTTGAGGCATGATTGATATTCGATACTCGAAACTCGACATATGATCTTCGATATTCGATATACAAAAGATATCGAACTCGTACGAGTATATCAGTGCATCCACGAAGTAAGTTCCTCTTTCTACATCCCTAGCCCGTCGCTGACTCGTATTCTCTTCTCTGTCCTACAGCGAATCCGTTCTGGAAATCGCCGC